AATATATATATATATATATATATATATATATTGTACAATTACAAAATATGAGGCTAAAAGAGGAGAAAGATGATTGGTAAATGTAGTAGTTTATGTGATAAGTACTATGAAGAATTCAATGAGAAAGAAGATGGTAAAAACATGATAAGGGCTTCCCTGGTGGCACAGTGGTTAAGAATCTGCTTGCCAATGCAGGGGACACGGGCTCGAGCCCTGGTCCAGGAAGATCCCACATGCCTTGGAGCAACTAAGCCTGCATGCCTATAGCCCGTGCTCCGCAACAAGAGAAGCCACCGCAATGAGAAGCCCACGCACCGCAACGAAGAGAAACCTCCGCTCGACACAACTAGAGAAAGCCCATGTGCAGCAACAAAGACCCAACGCAGCCAAAAACAAATAAATTTACTTAAAAAAACAAACATGATAAAAAGAACTTGCCCTCATTCATTCTTTTATTCAGTAATTATCTACTGAGTTCCAACCAAGACCTTCAGGCACTGCTTTAAAAGCTAAAAATGTTCTAGCAATCTAGTCCTCCCCTCCTTTCTTTTGAAAATCCTAACTTCTGTACAGAACAAAACTTGACATTAGATACTTCCTTTCTGGGTAACACAGAGCTTGAAACTTGTAAAAGAGCCAAAGTCTCTAACATCTGGTGACATCTGCACCACCCGACTCAGGACACCAAATAAACTATTCTCACTAACAGTAGTGAGGGACCCACCTTTATCAACACAAAAACCAAAACAGGGACGAAGTCATCTGCTCCTGGGACAGAGTCCTCATTGGCCAGGCTCAGGAGGTTCATGATCGTGGAGCACATTCTCAGGATGCACTGCACTTTGTCCCGAGGCGTCTTGTAAGCACTTATTGTCCTGATTTCTGACTGTGCAGATGGCCACGGTGCCTCCCGAAGATAAACCTACGTGAGACAACACAGAGACAGTTAGACAGATCTTGGATCAAACGGCAACTACGTGCAGCGAACAAAGCAACCTCCACATCAGGAGGCCGAAGGGTAAGGTTGTTGTTGCCTTTCCCTTTTTCCAGTAAAACCAAATCGCGATTCCTCCCCATCCTCCCACTTAGGATTGAAGCTTAACTTTTAAACTTTTAAATTATTTGCTTTGCATTTTAAAATAAAACCACCCAGGGGAATTCCCTGGCAGTCCATTGGTTAGGACTCTGTGCTCTCACTGCCACGGGCCTGGGTTTGATCCCTGGTTGGGGAACTAAGATCCCGCAAGCCCCGGGCGTGGCCCCCCACAAAAAAACCACCTAGATATATATTAATAGAGGCATATGATAACACAGAACCTAGAACTCACAAAATTTCAAACAATTATCTTTCTTAAAGAGCTAGAATGGAACTTATCTCTGTATTGTAGCTGATTCCAAAAGCACAAACAAGCTACTTTTAAGATACTTTAAAAATTAATATGTACCTTTGTTGCAGTAGTTCTAGAAATCGAAGACAATTAAAAATTTTATGCCAATTTATGTTTGGATTTTATTATTATTATTTTTTGGCCACGCCATGCGGCATGCAGGATTTTAGTTCCCTGACCAGGGATGAACCCGTGTCCCCTGCACTGGGAGCACAGAGTCTTAACCACTGGACTGCCAGGGAAGTCCCCTTAATGTTTGGATTTTAATAAAACAACCAGAAAACTCGTATACCTAAAACGTTCCTATTTTCAGATTTTGTAAGAGTTGTATGACAGATAAAAATGCTAATATTAATAACTAAAAGGTAATTTTGAGGTCACATTCAGATTCAATTCGCTCTCCTGGACAGTAGTTTTCACACTCTTTGAAGTACCACCAGATCCCTTCTTCATATGGGACTTTCCTGCAGAAATGTGACTATAAAAGCATCAGTGCAGAGCACTGCTGCCCCAGGAGGAGCAGCGCTATGGACAGGAAGATCCGCCTGCAGGGGCTGGCGTCAGGGCAGGGGCTCCTCCATGCTGGCCCTCCCTCCTCTCCACTACTAAGGTCCCTTCCCAGGCCAGGGAATTTTAATCCGTGGAAGGACCTTTGAGAACTTTACAGTTACATCAAATTGCATCTAGTGCAAGTGGTGGTGTACAACTTATTACATTCTGCTTCCTTGAAAAACTGGTAACATGCACATGGTATACCAAGCAATTTTTAATTAAATAATACCACCCACACTATATAAACCTGTATTACCTCTGGTATCTGAAGAGCTCTGTGATTTGCAGTCACTACTTTAGACAATCTCTGAATATGTTCATGAAGAACTCTGAAAACCCCCAAAAATACATAAGTAAATATATATTTCAGAAAATAAGGTACACCGATAGTCATAACTGATTTTTTTCAAAACATTTAAAACGTTTTAAACTTACTTCTAGATACAGATTACAAATACAGTTGAGACTATCTCTTAGCTGTAAGTACTCTGTCTTGTCAAAAAAACCCCTCATATTTAGGATCTGCTTTGAAACGCTGAGTGAGCCAACGGGATGCAGAGAGAAAAGCAGAGAAGCCCTCCTTTCCCGGGACCAGACCAGCATTCCAGGGGGGAAAGCAGAGGAGCCCTTAGCCTAGAAGCTAACTGGACAACTAACTGGTAAATAGGCCAAGAGGAAGTAGAGGGATCGGGGGTCAGAAACCAAAGATCAGAGATGCTTAGACAAGGGACTCTGAGGACACTCCACCTCTCATTTCAGAGATGACAATAACTAGGCTTAAAAAGGAGAAGGGGGCTTCCCTGGTGGTGCAGTGGTTGGGAGTCCGCCTGCCAATGCGGGGGACGCGGGTTCGTGCCCCGGTCCGGGAGGATCCCACGTGCCGCGGGGCGGCTGGGGCCGTGAGCCATGGCCGCTGAGCCTGCGCATCCGGAGCCTGTGCTCCGCGGCGGGAGAGGCCGCGGCAGTGAGAGGCCCGCGTACCGCGAGGCTAAACCCAGCTTTCCTGACTTCGAGTGTTCTTTCCAGAACACAGGATTAACTCTCCACTCTACAAACCCACAGAAACACCACGGAAGAGAGGGTAGGAAGAACCTGCTTCAAAGGTGCTCTTTGCAGTAAGTACAGTTTGAATGTCCCCATTCCTCATCCCACTGTGGAAGCCAAAAACTGGTGCTCTGGAAAGAAAACAGGGCCCATTTGGCAAATTCCACACAGAAACTTGGGGAGGGGTAAAAAGCCTCTGAGACTATGAACAAGCGAGAGAGGCAGGTTGGAATAAGCCTAACCCACCCACAGGAAAGTGAACTTTCTCAAATGTACATACAATATTGTAAAATTTCCATGAAAAAAAAATCTTATGGAAACAACCAATGCCCCACCCTATTACATGGGCCCTTGAGAGTCGCCCACAGAGAGAGCCCATGTCACTGCTGGGGGGCACGGTGGCCATCTCAACATGCTTGGGGCAGAAACAGCATTGTAAAGCAGTGGTCAAGAAAATGCAGAAGAGGGAAAAAAAAGCTAAGTCATCCATAGCCTCATTACCCCAAAATAACCACTGTTATCATTCCAGATTTTTTTTTCAAGATTAATTTTTTTAGGTTTACTTTTAAAAATAGGCTTTATTGAGATATAATTCATATACCATACAATTCCAGATATTTTGATTTTCAAATATATAACTTTTCATTCCAAACAAATAATAAGCATATATTATAATAGAAGTCACGCACTGTGCTTGATGCCCTCCCTGATGGAGTGATGAATAAAAGCACTATGCTGCTGCTCTCACAGAGGGAACAATCCAGTGGGGGATACAGGCATTCATCAATCGATCACACAAACCAGTGGTCAGGAACAGGGGCGATTCTGCCCCCAAGGGACATCTGGCAATGTCTGGAGACACCCTTGGTTCTCACACCTGGCAGGGTACTACTGGCCTGTAGCATATAGAGGTCAGGGATGCTGATAAATGTCCTACAATGCACAGGACAGCCTCCCACTTCAAATAATTATCTGGCCCAAAATGTCAGTAGTGCCAGCTTGAGAAACCATGCCTGCAACAAATGTAAAACCGCAACTGTGGCAAGTGCTAAAGAAAGGTATCCAGGCCTGAGGGAGGGTTGACAGGGCATTTAACCTAGTCAGAAAGGCCAGGAAATGTTTCCCCGAGGAAGTGATGTCTGAGTCAAGATCTGAAGGATAAGAGTAGGTAGAAGAAAGAAAGGAAGAACAGCTGAGACAGAGTAAACAGCAGTGCCGTCCACAAAGGCCGTACCAATTTATACACCCTGCAGCCTGATTCCCCACATCTCTGAAAACAGAGTATTTTCATTCTTTCTGATAACTCTAATAGGTGAAAAAAGGTAACATGTATTTTTTCCTTTACTACTCAGATACTAAGTCTCACGTATAGCTTGTCTAAAATAATGGGGTTGGCTGGTATATTCCTCCTTAGTCCAACACAGGCCGTTACACTTAGAAGCACTCACTGGTCACGGAGTATGTCCCCGTCCTGATTAGGGTAGAAGGCAAGTTTGAAGATCCGATTCATCACACTTCGCTCAATGGCGAGCTGGGCATCCTGAAGCTGCTCCTCACTCGCATTCTGCCATATGACATCCTGGGCCATGGCGCCATAAAGGAACTGCAGAAAATCTTCCACCTGAGCAGTTTTATCATCAGCTGCCGTGAGTTTCTGGAAGTCTCCAATGCAAAATAATAATTTTTAAAATACAGTATTTAAATCATTTCAAATAGGAAATTATTAGAATACATTTTTTTTTTTTTTTGGTGGTACGCGGGCCTCTCACAGTTGTGGCCTCTCCCGTTGCGGAGCACAGGCTCCGGACGCACAGGCTCAGTGGCCATGGCTCACGGGCCCAGCCGCTCCGCGGCATGTGGGATCTTCCCGGACCGGGGCACGAACCCGTGTCCCCTGCATCGGCAGGCGGACTCTCAACCACTGCGCCACCAGGGAAGCCCTAGAATTCATTTTAATCCACTAGCTATGCAGATACCATGCTCTTAAAGCCAAAAGTATCTGGGCATGGTTTATTTTGGAAGAAAATGTAGCCAAATCATTAAAAACAGGAGAACGGTAAGAAATATGTAGAAGTTTAAGAACAAGAGGTTTGTTACAAAAAGATATGCTTTGTTTTAAAAAAAAAAAATTTAAAAAAAAGAGAAAAATTGTGTGGATCCCAAACTTTGTAATTCTCCCAACTTTTTTTTTTTTTTTTGCAGTACGCGAGCCTCTCACTGTTGTGGTCTTTCCCGTTGAGGAGCACAGGCTCCGGACGCGCAGGCTCAAGGGCCCAGCCGCTCTGCGGCATGTAGGATCTTCCCGGACCGGGGCACGAACCTGTGTCCCCTGCATTGGCAGGCGGACTCTCAACCACTGCGCCACCGGGGAAGCCCTCTCCCAAATTTTTAATAAACTACAGATATTCAATCCAGGATAAACATGGAATTTATTGGTCTGACTTCAAGGTTTAATAACTAAGAAATAATTGCTAATTTAAGGAACTTCTCTTAGACAGGCAGGTACTCAAAAAAAGCAGCAAAAGAAAAATTCCCAAATCTTCCCAATAACACACAGCTTAACCTAAAGGTCTCTAGTTACCTTGAATGAATTCCCTGATCTTCTTTTCTTTGCTCTCGAGCAGCAACCTCACACAGACAGTGGTGAAGTATCGATTGGCCACCTCTTTGTCCCGCAAAACCCTCTGCAGTAGCCTTTCCAGGTGAGCCTGCGTGGTCTGCAGTCCTTGTCGACAACGAGTGAGGTAAGCAATATAGGGGGCCCTTTTCCTGAAAGGAAATACGCTCTGCAGGACATCATACATACACGGTGCACGCTTTCTTCGGAGACTAAGAGTCCTGATTTTTCCTTAAATGAAAAAACTACTTAGAAGACTTTGGTTTTACAGATTAGCATGTCAGACTGCAGACAACCATCCTGAGGGCTAATTATGCTCCAGATCAAGAAACAGAACCAGATGCAAGGATGTAATGTACAGCATAGGGAATAGAATCAATGTTTTATAACAACTTTAAATGGAGTATAATCTGTAAAAAAAAGCGAATCACTATGTTGTACACCTGAAACGAATATAACATTGTAAATCAACTACAATTTTTTTAAAAAAAGAAAGAAACAGAACTATTCTGCATGTGTGTCAAGAACATCATCTACTGGGCTGAACACTTAGCCCGTTAATTCCCTAAACATTGCTAAGTCCCTTTGCATCGTTGGTCTGCTATTTTTGGAGCAGTCTCCATGCTGGTAGAACCTCATACTTAACGGGAAGTTGACTGCTACAATGACTAGAATAACAACAAAATACAGGTTAATATACTGCTAGATCATTAAACATACCACTAATTATTTGCTTACAGTCTAAACATAGCAATCATTAGAGCACCCATTCCCTAAGTCTCTTTACTTCCTAAGCTTCTCAACTACATTTTAATGTCAGCAAGGGACTGGCAACAGACAAAGGGTAGTGATTCCAAGACCTACACCTGCTTCCCTTGTCCAAGGAAGCAGTCTTTTCTATCCCTCTAAAAAAGGGAAATGATATCCTAGTTATACTGGCGCCCCCTCCGCTAAAGGTGGGGCAAAGCTGAAGTGAACTGCACTCTGTGTTAGGAAGAGCTGCTCATTTATAACTACATTTCCAGACTAAATATCCAAATGTATTCCTTGGAAATCTACATCCAGGTAAACACAGCCAAGCACTTTGTGGTGAGCCTAGATTCATTTCTGAAATAAGGACCGAGAAGAAAATACCTGCAGCTGAAAAGAGGTGTATAAGTGAAACATGTGGGGTATAATTACCTATAGTCCTCAGCGATAGAAGCCAGTAGCTTCCTACAAGTCCTGTTATCAAAGCGGCACACACAACGCATTGTTTCTTGAAGTTGAGCCATTAAGTTTTTATCTTGTAAATTAATTGCTTCAGCTATTTGAACTTTTAGGAAGCAGACAATTTCATTGTCTAAATAAAAAAATAAAAATTCTGTTATTGTTGAGAATTTCCACAGGCTTTTCATAAGCTGAAGGTCATCCCTCAGCCTTTGGGATGTCAATTATGCTTGTATCAGTAGAACTAAGCAGTATCAATCAGAGAACATTTTAATGAGCCATCAATAATCAAAGTGCCCTTAACTGATAGCTAATATAAATGTATTACATTGAACTGTACAGAACTGCTGTAGAGTTTTTTATTTTTATTTTTTTAATAAATTTATTATTTTATTTATTTATTTTTGGCTATGTTGTGTCTTCATTGTTGCGTGTGGGCTCTCTCTAGTTGTGGTGAGCAGGGGCTACTCTTCATTGCAGTGCTAGGGCTTCTCATTGTGGTGGCTTCTCCTGTTGCGGAGCATGGGCTCTAGGTGCGTGGGCTTCAGTAGTTGTGGCTCACGGACTCAGTAGTTGTGGCTCGTGGGCTCTAGAGCACAGGCTCAATAGTTGTGGCACACGGGCTTAGTTGCTCCGTGGCATGAGGGATCTTCCCGGACCAGGGCTTGAACCCGTGTCCCCTGCATTGGCAGGCGGATTCCTAACCACTGTGCCACCAGGGAAGCCCTGCTGTATAGTTTAAATACAGTTGAATACTGGCAGTTCATATGGTTCAACGTATAAATATAGGAAAAAATAAACTATCAGGCAGCAACTTACCTTCTGGGTCTGTATGGTCTGGTAAACCATTCCTTGTTGAATGGGTTAGCACTGGGAAAGCAACAGAATCCGCAGAACAAAGAGCAAGCCTCAGTTTCTTTTTTGCATCTCTGAAGAATGAGTTGAAGATACATTAATTTCTTTGTTCACATATGGTCAGATTTTATGAACTATTATCATATTTACTATACAAATCAATAGGCTACCACGTCAGGACTCCAATGTTTCAAGTGGTCATAAATAAAAGATAATTTTCAACTTACTGACACCTCACTCTTAAGGAGTGGGCTTTCTAGTTACCTGAGAAGCAAGGCTGCAAAAGTGCTCTGGGCAAGGACCATTCGGTAAAGTCACCAGAATCAAACAAATCCTTTCTGACCTTCTAACATACGCTGAGTTCTATGCTAAGCACTACGAGGAGAGTCAAGGCTGGATTACGCCCAGGCTGGGAGGGAGTCAGCAGAAGTCGTCAGATCCATCTCACCACCCACACTTAGGAAGCCTTCTACCACATCTCTTGAGGAATGTTGATCTTGCCACAAGACAAGCTGACCCCCGACAAGAAGCCCTTTCTGTTGCCTTGCTGCTTGAAACTTTGTGTTGAGCCAAAACCTGCTTCTTTTCAACTTCCGCCACTGAACCACCTGCCACCACCACGCAGAGCACCCTTCAGTAAGGCGTCACCCTCCACGCAGGGCAGCCCTTCATACTGGGAGGAGAATGTAGGGTGTGGACCAGAGCTTCTTCTAAGCGTCCAACGCTGCCATCCAAAAAAAGGAGTCGAAACACCTCCAAGAACAAGCCAGAGTTTGATCCTCCTGCAGGATTATCACTTGTCCACCTCATCTGACTAGTTCTGAGTCCTTCCTTATTGGTTTGCTTCCTCTAAAACGAGTAACTTACAAATCAACCCAAACAAATGTAATATTTGCCTACTTTGCAGAGACTCCAAGTCTATATAACAGTAAAGTCATGGCTGGAAAATAAAAATTTAAATCTTTAAAAATTGTGAATCACTGTGTTGTACCCCTGAAACTTATATAATATTATATACCAACTATATCTCAATAAAAGTAAATAAATAAAATAAAATGATATGCTGCTTAGAGTCTGCTTTAAATTAATTGGGGGAGGAGGTAAACATGAAACAATATGGGCCACATATTAGTAACTGTTAAATCTAGGTAACAGACACATCACTGTACTCTTCCATTTTTGTACATACTTGAATATTTCTAAAATAAAAAGTTTAAAAACAGAGAAACAAAGACAGAGGCAAAGTCAGAGATAAAACAGAGAGATGGACGGATGATCAGTGCTTTAAAAGTGATAATCCGTGTCTGGAAAAACACAGGTTCCCTGTGAAACGAAAGCAAATTTTTCAGGCTCCTAAAATCATTTTCTTTCTCAAGCCCTGTTAGAAATGGAGAGACCTGCCCAGGTAATGAGGAGAATGACAAACTGGGAGGCTTACTGGGGACAGTGGGTCATTCAACAACTCTGCAGTGGACCCTCCTTCTACCTCAGTCCTGCCCTAGCACCTCTCACACACAGAGCTGGGAATTCTGCACAGGCACAGGCACTGCCACTGTTCCATTTAAATTACTCATGTGGGGCCTCACTGGTGGCACAGTGGTTAAGAATCCACCTGCCAATGCAGGAGACACGGGTTCAAGCCCTGGTCCGGGAAGATTCCACATGCTGTGGAGCCACTAAGCCCACATGCCACAACTACTGAGCCTGCACTCTAGAGCCCTCGAGCCACAACTACTGAAGCCCACATGCCACAACTACTTGAAGCCCGTGAGCCTAGAGCCCGTGCTCCGCAATAGGAGAAGCCACCGCAATGAGAAGCCCGCGCACCGCAACGAAGAGTAGCCCCCGCTCACCGCAACTAGAGAAAGCACACGCACAGCAACAAAGACCCAACGCAGCCATAAATAAATAAATAAATAAAATAAATTACTTATGTGGCCCCTGTGAGCATATGAGGTTTTCTTGTTTTTGTTTTCAATCCCTGAATTAAAGCCTTTGATGTATGACATCCACAAGGGAAGCAAAGTATTCTCAGTGAATAGTATTTCATTCTTATCTCTCTGCTTTACACACTTATTAAGTGACTCAATGAAACACCTGACTTGAAGTGACTGCAATGGTGATGAAAAGTTCAAACCCAAAGGTCCTAAATCCTATAAAAAAAATACCTGTAAGAGAAAGCTGAATCCTGAGGGTGGGCGGCTTGGCTTGCGGAATCTGGGAGATCGTCAGCTGAGATGTTTTGCAGGGTTTCGTCACGAGGCGAATCATGCGCACTCTCACCATCACCCATAACTTCTAAACAAAACCCAGCCCCCCAAAAGGATAAGCATGTTAATCTGGAACATTCTGGCACTGGTAGGTATTCAGAGCAACTCAACAATAAATTAACTTGTGCCTTCCAACAAGAGTTCTTTGAAAGAAAAAGGAAAAAAGGAACTTCAAACACTTAACTAAATTATTGATAGCAGTGATAATATATCAAGAGAGCAGTTGTTGAAAATAGTTTTACTTCTTATCTGAATCCTAATCTAAAACAATGAAAGTCTTTATTAACTTAATAAGGATAATACTCTGTAATCACGATCACTGAACCACAGAACTAAAAGGGGCCTCAAAAATCATTTCAGGGCTTCCCTGGTGGCGCAGTGGTTGAGAGTCTGCCTGCCGATGCGGGGGACACGGGTTCGTGCCCCGGTCCGGGAGGATCCCACATGCCGCGGAGCGGCTGGGCCCGTGAGCCATGGCCGCTGAGCCTGCGCGTCCGGAGCCTGTGCTCCACAACGGGAGAGGCCACAACAGTGAGAGGCCCGCATACTGAAAAAAAAAAAAAATCATTTCACGTAACACCCTCATTTTACAGACATGGAATCCTGCCCAGTCAGAAAACAGCTGCCTGTGAACCCCTTGGCCAGGCCGCACTGAGGTCTCCGGTCCTCATTACCAAGGCTGCTCCCACTGCCTGAGAATGAGCTGGGTACAAACTCACAAATGCAGCCAGGACAGACCTGTGGTTCCCACAGTTGTTTTTAATTAATCAATTTAGTTAATACATGCATGTATAAAATCAAAAGAAATAAAAGTTCCTTAGTGTAATAAAGATACTGTGTCTATGTAGGAAAAATACCTTTATTCTTAGGAGATAGTTTCAAATGCCGCAGGAAAAAAAAATATATAGAAAGTGTGGCAAAATGTTAACAATTGATAAGTCTAGGTAGACGGAATATAGACCTTCACTGTTCTATTCCTTCAACTTGTTATTTTAAAACTTTTCAAAAACAAAAAAAAAAGTGTAGGATGGGACTTCCCTGGTCATCTGGTGGGTAAGACTCCGGGAGGCCAGATTCGATCCCTGGTTGGGGAACTAGATCCCGCATGCTGCAACTAAGAGACTGTATGCCGCAACTAAGAAGTCCACGTGCCGCAACAAAGATCCCTCGTGTCGCGACTAAGACCCGGCACAACCAAAATAAATATAAGTTAAAAAAAAAAGATGTAGGAAGTTCTCCTCTCAGGCTCCCTATGAGTCCCCCGCTGAGTCAACTCATGTTACCAGTTTATCAGAGATTCTTCCAGAGATACTCTAATTTATCTTGGGAATTGTGCCATATTTTTCTGACAACTCTTCAAAAGTAGCTATTACAAGGTTGCTTTTATTTTTTATTTATTTTTATTTTTTGCAGTGCGCGGGCCTCTCACTGTTGCGGCCTCTCCCGCTGTGGAGCACAGGCTCCGGACACGCAGGCTCAGTGGCCATGGCTCACAGGCCCAGCTGCTCCACGGCATGTGGGACCTTCACGGACCGGGGCACGAACCCGCGTGCCCTGCATCGGCAGGCGGACTCCCAACCACTGCGCCACCAGGAAAGCCCACAAGGTTACTTTTAATTCGGACCATCTTTACCACTGTGATACGAGAGTTACTATTCCATTCTTTATCATGATTATCACCTGCACTTTCGTAGTTTGCCAGTGCTCCTTCACTGGGACTGGTTCGTTTAATGGCATTCCAGGTCATCTGAAGGGGAAAGGAGAGGGAGAGAATTAGCTCCCCTTGGTTTGCACCCACTCTGATGTTAGTACGACACCAGTAGCATAATCCCAAAGGCGGATTAGGAGGTAAGACTTAAAAAGAGCACATATCTCAGTGTTATAAGAGGCACCATGCAGCTGCCTATTCATCCCATTTCTAGGTCTGAGAGCCTTGCCAAAGCACGAAATTGGGAGGATTACTCCACTTTCTCATCATCGTCAGAATTCTGCATGACAGTGTCAAAAAGTTCAGTGCAGACTGAATGGATGATGGGTTTCTAAAGTGTTTACACTCAAATCACTGTTATTATCAATTCATGCTACCAGAATTTCCAACACTGCACTTTTAGATGCAGACTTCATTTATTCAGACATCTCTATGCTGAAGGAGGAAAAAAAGTACTCCAACTTCAAATTAAAGCCTTTTAAATAATACTTTTAAAATGTCTTCCTCCACTCTTCCTTCATGAATCTCTCTCACTACACCACATTCGGAAACTTCAGATATTCATATTCTGTCTTACTAAATCTCACTATGACAGTACAGCTGCTGGATTTAGAGCACTTCTGTGCGTGCAATGGTGTCAGAGGCACTCCTAGAGAATCCAGACACTGTTGGGGAGTGCTGGAATTGTACCTGGGGTGCACAGAGAAAAAGCTTATCACAATCACAGGTGCAGCACTGGTTACTGACTGGCCCACTATCCGGTCAGCAAAATCGGCACATCAAAATGTTTGCTTGGAGTCAGATGGCAGAGTCACTAATTAACGGTTAACAAAGCCAAGAAGTGCTACAGATCTATGGGACAAAATATAGTTCCACAGTGAAATGCAAACTCCTGAGACAGATCTAGGCCAAGCAGGTAATGTCTACATTCTGGTAGAATCCCATTTTTAAAAAAGTCTTAAAACAGATAAAAATCACTAGAATTTATATATGTGTACGTGTTAATAGCAGCTAATATTAACAGCAGCTAACATTTATTGAGCATGTACCACGTGCCAGGAACTGTGCTAAACACCTTATATGAATGATCTCAATTAATCATCGCAACAACCCTACATGGAGGTACTACTATCACCCCCATTTTTAAGAAGAAGAAATCAAGGTAGAAAGAGGTTAAGTAGTGTGCTCATAGGCTCTTCTTTTGTTTCTATGAAAAAAATATTTAGTGTTCGTGTCTCCGTAAAATTGTGGTAAACTGTAGGGAGAAACGATTTCCAAAATAATATAATCTTTCTGCTACAATGATGTTTGAATGCATGATGATAGAGTCCTAATAAAATCTGATCTTCGAAATGTAAACTGATAAAACCTTTATCATTACAAAATCTTTTTTTTTGCTATTGGTTTTGAGTGCTGTTGAGGGCTCTAAAAAAGGGTTAAACATAGTGAAAGCAATAACGTTGCTTATAACTTTTATTTCTGTAACACCGTTCTTAAAAATTTTATCTGAGGACAACGATTAAAATAGACAAAAAATGCTATATACACAAAGCTGTGAGCAGTATTTTCATAGTAAAAAAAAATGGATACAATTTAAATATCGAAAAGCAAGAGAATGTTCACACCGCAATAAAATAATGATAGATGATCTCAGAGCCAATAAGAATTATTAAAAAACCAACTATGTCAAGCAGAAATTGGGACAGGGTTTATGAAATAACATGTGGTAAAAGAATACAAAGTTACATACACACTCTGATTTCATCATGAAAAGCCATGTATAGATAAGGAAAGATTGGGAGAGAACATGAAAAAAAGAAAATTAAGGCGGCGAGATTATGGACTGACTGTTAAGAAATTCCCTCTCATAACATTTTAAAAAATTGACTTAATGATACTTTTCTTTGAGTCATTAATTAGGAGTGGGTAGAAATTTCTGCACCAGTAGGGAAGCTAAACTGCTTGAATCAAACACAAACAAAATGAAATATTTTATGGAAAAAAACTTACTCTACTTAGCTTACAGTTTAGGCACCAGGGACTAAGAAAAATGTATTGCCTAAAGACACGAGTAAAAAACTAATTTATAACTTCTCCAAAGTTATTAATTCAACATTTTGAAAACCTGAGATTTTATTAAGAGCATTCTACTCTGTGAATGGTGGTGGTGTTCTAAAGCCAGGAGCATGGTAAGAAAACGTAAAAATCTTGCCAAAAGGATGCCTTTCCACTGCTTCTCAATCAGGCTGTAAGTCCCTAAAGAACAAGAGTCATGTGTGATTTGACTGAACACCTACCACACTTAGCACAGTGCCTGGCATGAGTCAGATGTTCAACAAGCATTTGTTGACTGAATGAGATAGGTTTGACTGCTCTCAGCAGGGAACCTGGCCTGAAAGCACAGCTCCTGCTGTTTAAAACCCTTTATTCCAGGCAAGTCACCTCATCAAATAAACAGGGACATGGCAACGTCTACATGTATTTTAGAACTAGACATGACAATAACTATGCATTGAAATGGGATTCTACCTGTACTACACTGAGCTCTTTGAGGAGGATGTTCTTTTGAAACCTACCCCACTTTTAAATAAAAGTCTTCATTTTACCTTAGTAGGATAACATAATTTAAAATCAAGACAAGAAAAAGAGAGGTGAGAAATTAATGTCCCTCTAGACGTTCTTCAGTCACTGGAGACAGTATACAGCTATCAAACTCAAGGTTGGGTCATCAACACTACCTCTCATACTTTTTCCTTTTAGGGTGTTCATTCATAATATGCCAAAAAGAAGCTTCAAAAATACAAATGCTGAATGAGGTAAGAACCCAACCCCTAGTTGTATTTTCCTTGGGTCAGATAGCAATGTTAAAATGATTCAAGCTGTAAAAAATTGGTAAAGTTTATAAATTTACAATATTGTTTGAACACGTATCACGAAAAAAGGAAATGATTAGGTAAAATAGAATTTCACAATGATCCTGAATAATCAAGAACTATAGATGGAAATAAATTTAGAATTGTACGATCAACGTTAAAGAAAACTATTCAGTCCATGATCCAAAGATGTGGCATGCATAGCACTAAAACCATCACCATACTTTCCTAAAAGGCACTGTGTGTCATCATCCCACTAAAATGTCGGGTTCTAGGGTAGGCCTAGAGGCTCAGGATCAGGGGCCTCATCATAAACGGAAGTTATGATAATGAGGATGATGATGGTGGTGGCAGTCTGCAGGAAGAGCGCACTGAGATTCACTGTGGCCGCCAACTGGAAACCACAGAGCTATGAAGAACATACTCCCCACTGTACACACACAGACACACTCTTCTAAGAAGGCAACGCTTATGGCACCCAAGAAAAAGTGTTATGAAATATGTGCTCTGGGAATGAAGGAGCCAGGAAGTCCATGGGTCTACAAACCTGTGAGTGTTGAGAATCTGTCAGGCCCCAGATCATCTTTGTCTTTTTCTTGTTTTTCTTTCTTTCTAAATGGTATAGGAGCTGGAAATTAAATAAAGTCAGTAGTGTGACATATAACATACTGCACTACTCGGAAGATAGCAGTCATTCTGGGGTTAACTGGTGTGCCAACATTTCTAAGTGGAAGGAAGGTGAAAAGTTTAAAAGCTAAGAAATCCCGAGTGTCAACTGATAATCATTCTTAAAATAGCATTGAAGGTGCTTAAAGAAGCTTCCAGAATCTCCTTTGGGGTCATCTGCCACAGGAAGAATGATTTAACAGGAATCTATTGGGAGTGAATCAAAACCACTGCCTCTTAACCTCTGCTCAAAACACGACACATACAAAGCTCTGAGCCTCAGTCTCTCCTCCTAAAGTGGGCTTGAATCTGGAGTGAAAGCGGTGCTCCGCGGCTCCTGAGCACCACAGTGCCGAGAAGAGGCCTTTGGAGGAAGCCCTTCCCTCTAATCCTGCATGATCTCTCCTTCCTGGAAGAGATGCTTTTGCCAACTCAAATTTCAATACCTACTGGTATGATGTTAGGCTATTCACAAGAAAAGCAAACAATTCTACACAACTGCATTCCAGAATAAACACTAATATTCAGGGTATTATCATTCTCAATGAACATAAACATAAGAAGCTTAAGTTTATTCCAGGAATGTAAAGGATAAATTTTCTATGTTTGTTTACTAATAGCATCCTTTTTTCCTGAAATAATTATTAGCAATACGTATGTCAAAAATCCTATATATTTAACTTCAATGGTATATGATATTCAAACAACCGTGACCTGCCTGCCTTTCATTTATGAAACCACTGCCACTTCCTGCAAAGAACAGGAACTGTCACTTCCAAAGCTGTACCTTAGCATTCACCTGAGTGAAATCATTTTCCATACCCTCAAAACAACAAGAAACTGAGGCCCCGCAGGCCTCACGGAGGAGGTCAGATTCTGGCTCCTCTGAAAGAGATTTTGGGGCTTCTTGTTGCTGATATCACATTCTGATATTTTATAAAATTACCTTTGGGCATGGCAGAAACAAAACGCTTTCTCCACCAAGGTCTGTTCCTGTCTGATTTCTCATCATCGCTATCTTTGCGTTCTTCAGTCTGCAGAAAAAGCATGATGCTTTATTTGGAGTTGGACAGCAGAATAAATTACTATGAAAAGGATTTTAGTTAGTCTGTGAAATACAAAAACCACTAGTTTTTCTTCAAAGCAAAACTGTTCTTATTGTTGTACAGGCAACTTCTGGAACAGGGATGTATACCTTTCAAGCACCAGACTATGATGGATCACTTGAGGGTAGGCACTATCTCATTACTGTCAGTAAACCAAAAGCTTAATACAGAGTCTAGCATAGAGTAGGCACTCAATAAATACTCATATGGGATGAATAAATGCAATGCACATAAAATCTAGAGGGGTAGTAGAGATGGTAGCAGTAATATTAATAATAAAACTATGTATGTACTGTGTGCCAAACACTGAACGTAAGGACATATATTATCTCATTTAAACTTCACAGTAGCCTTAAAAGATAAATACTATTATTAAGCCCTTTTTATAGATGAGAAATATGAGGCTAAAGAAGGTTATCTCCTCATCTTCCCAAAGTTATACAGACTGTATGCGGCACAGCCGGGACTCAAACCTATATCTGACCAACTTCAAAGTTCATGTTTTGATCACCAATTATAATGAGTTACTATTAAGACCACATGTCAAAAGGCAGAACTGTAATTCCTGTACTAACCTATCATGTGACTTTAGACAAATCATTTTATTTCTGTGTTTTCATCTACAAAACTGGAACTAAAAATACCTTCTCTAAGGGCATCCATGTGAATGGGATATCAGAACCTAAGCACAGGAATGGCATCCAGGGAGGGTTTAGCGGTGGGGATGGGATATTGATTACATACAGGGGGACTGATCAAATAAGTACATACATGAAGAATAATGAAAGCAGTTTTCTCACTGCTGGAGAAGGGAACTGCAAATATGGAATGGAAGGAAGATGAAATGAATTCTGTTGTTTTTAGACTGGAAATGGTTCTGTACATATAAAGAGAAAGATATAGAAATAAATACACATGTAAATGTGCAAGTACACACACACACACACACACACACACACACTCTCTCTCTCTCTCCCTAGCTCTGTCAACTGAGAGGTCCTGGGAGCAGCTACACCCCTGCAGCAAAGAGCACACCTAATAGCCAGATCCTGATTTCTAAAAACCATTTTCTACTAAAAGGAACATGGGCTCCTTGGAGAAAGGGCTGATTCCAGGACTAAAGCAGACACAATACAATACAAGCTTATAACATTTTGTTCCAGAAAGCAGAGAGATACTCAAAGAAAGATACCCAAATGTCAAAAGAACACAGGAGCCAGCTTGAAGGGGTGACCATTGGCCAAATCAGGGACAACTGGGCTTCAAAATAAATGGCCGTAAAAAAAATAAATATAAAAAATAAATGGCCATAACAAACCCATTGACTAAAAATAGAAAATCATGAGACCACAGATATGATTAATAAGTGGATAAATTTAAAATTTGAGAAAGAACAGGATATTTACATATTTTCAACGGCCTCTCTCCTCCCAGAAATACTTATTAATTACAAAGGGGAAAAGAGTAACTTACAGTAGTGAAGCCTGGCAGACAACACCTTCATCAAGTGAGCCAAGTGAACACCAGAGTAGTGGGACACATTTAAATTGTGTGCTACCTGGTAGCATGCAGTGAAATGAACACAGTGTCACTTTAGTGATATTCCTGCCTAAGATGAATAACCTGAATCTAATCATGAGAAAATATCAAGCAGACCCAAATTGAGGGACATTCTAGAAAATAACGCCTGTAACTTTCAAGAGTATAGGGACTTCCCTGGTGGCCCAATGGTTAAGAATCTGCCTACCAATGCAGAGGACATGGATTCGAGCCCTGGTCCGGGAAGATCCCACATGCCGCAGAGCAACTAAGTCCGTGCACCACAACTACTGAGCCTGCATGCTGCAACTACTGAAGCCTGCGCACCCAGAGCCCGTGCTCCGCGACAAGAGAAGCCACCACAATGAGAAGCCCGTGCACCACAACCAAGACTAGCCCCCACTCACTGCAACTAGAGAAAGCCCGCGCACAGCAACGAAGACCCAATGCAGCCAAAAATTAATTAATTAATTAATTAATTAATTTTTAGAAAAGAGCATAAAGGTCGTGAAAGTCAAGGAGAAACTGAGGAAATGTCCTAGACTGAAAGAGACTAAAGGGACTTCCCTGGTGGTGCAGTGGTTAAGAATCCGCCTGCCAATGCAGGGGACATGGGTTCGAGCCCTGGTCCAGGAAGATCCCACATGCCACGGAGCAACTAAGCCCATGCGCCACAACTACCAAGCCTGCGCTCTAGGGCCCGCGAGCCACAACTACTGAGGCCGCATGCCACAACTACTGAAGCCTGCGCGCCTAGAGCCCATGCTCCACAACAAAGAGAAGCCCCCACTCGCTGCAACTAGAGAAAGCCCACGCGCAACAACGAAGACCCAACACAGCCAAAAAGAAAGAGAGAAAGACTAAAAAGACATGACAACTAAATACAAGATGTGATTTTGAATGGGATCCTTTCACTATAAAGAACGTTACTGGGACAATAGGAGACACATGAATGGGGTATGAAAATTATCATTAATGTATTGATACATTATTATTTTATTTTATCTTATTTATTTATTTTTTGTGGTATGCGGGCCTCTCACTGCTGCGGCCCCTCCCGCTGTGGAGCACAGGCTCCGGACGTGCAGGCTTAGCGGCCATGGCTCACGGGCCCAGCCGCTCCGCGGCATGTGGGATCCTCCGGGACTGGGGCACGAACCCGTGTCCCCAGCATCAGCAGGCGGACTCTCAACCACTGCGCCACCAGGGAAGCTCTGACACATTATTATTAATGTATGAATTTTAATCTCCTGATGTTGATGGTTGTACTATGACGTGTAGGGGAAGGTGCTTGCTTGTAGGAAACTTACACTAAAGTATTCATAGGTGATGGAGCATTGGAGCATCAGGTTGGCAACTTACTCTCACATGGTTGCGGGGGAGGTTCTTTGTATCTACTTCCAACTTTTTAGTAACTCTGTGATTGTTTCAAAATTGAAAATAACGCACTGGAAAAAAAGAAAATAAGTACTTCCTCTAATCATTTCTGAAGGAAACTGTGAGGTTTAAATGAGATACGAAATTGCTTGGAGGAAAGTTAAAAGTATTATAAAAATGCAAGATACGTTATTATAAAACCAAAGTAAAGGCTTTGTATGGGTTACGGTCGTGGACATATAGGATTGACAAATCACCTTTAATCATGACTACTGTCCACCCTTCATCGTAGATTTATATATTCCACACTAATTTCAGGTATCAAGAGAACCAGGCAGATGGAACACTAAAGCTGACCGTAATTAGCAAGTTCTTCTACAAGGCCCGCGTCCCATACCTCTCCTCTTGAGGAGTCCTTACTCGGGGATGAAGATGATGAATGAGGGGCAGCCACCAAAGAAGTAGCACCAATGGCTGCGGCTTGGGGGAGGTCTCGCTCTTCATTCCCTGGACGTCGGTTCCAGCTGGGGTCACTCATAGGTCGCCGGACAGAAGACACTATATCAGAGCTCCTGCTGCGAACTAATCTCTCAGGGTAAGAATGCCTTTGCTTAAATGCCTCCATCTCAGCTGGAGTTAAGACATGGGAACCAAAGTTTGGCAACCTGGCCTCGTTTCCTCCTGCAGCTCCTTCCAGGATTGGGGGATCTGGTGGTGGATGCGATGGCCTGGCATAGTGAACCTTTGGCCTTACTACAGCAGAAGCCCCTGGAACACAGAAAAAAAGTCTGCGGCTGAGACACAACAAAGTCCAACAAAGGCATGAACAAAGGGTTTTGGTTTTGTTCTTCTGTCCATGATAAAACAAGAGTCAAAAAGTTCATTTGACTACTTTACCTTCATGTGAAGACAGTGGATCAAACATGGCAAGGAGAGACTCTGACTGAGAAGGAGGAGAGGTCAGCTGGTGGGCACCTAAAAGAGATGGGCAAACTGTGTGACCCAGTCAGAACTCATGACTCACTAGGAGTTTCAACACTGTGAAAAGGTTCTCTTCCACAGTCTTCCTTTTTGACCAATTACAACTTGAGGGGCATATCAGAAAAAACATGATCTAATAAATAGCATATTCTGCTTACCTCAAATTCGTTTTATGTTTTTATCTACATATTTACATGGATTTTAATTACACTTAAGTAGTCTAGCATCCACTGCCTATTACTTCTAATGGCCAAACTGTACTATGGTTAATGCAAAGAGCAGAGCCAGAAGATGTAAATCATCAAAATTTTCAGAATGTCACAAGTTCCCTGAATCTCACCTTCCCTCCACCTATAAAAATAGGGGCAATACTACCTATAGAAGGAGTATAAATAAAAAGTTGTAAAATTTGAAATTCTAATACTGCTCTCAGCAAAAGACAATTTATAAGAGAACTCATAACAAAAATGAGTAATACGGGACTTCCCTGGTGGCGCAGTGGTTAAGAATCCCCCTACCAATGCAGGGGACACGGGTTCGAGCTCTGGTCCGGGAAGATCCCACATGCTGTGGAGCAACTAAGCCCATGTGCCACAACTACTGAGCCCGCATGCCACAAGTACTGAAGCCTGCACGCCTAGAGCCTGTGTTCCGCAACAAGAGAAGCCACCGCAACGAGAAGCCCGCACACCGCATCGAAGAGTAGCCCCTGCTCGCCGCAACTAGAGAAAGCCCTCGCGCAGCAACGAAGACCCAACGCAGCCAATAAATAAATTAATAAATAAATTTATTTTAAAAATGAGTAATACTACATTATACTACAAAACAAACTTGAACTTCTAAAGTACAATATTTTAAAACTACAGAGTAAAAGATGACTCCTCTAAGCATATGTCTATAAACAACCAAAATCAGCGATATTAAAATATGCAGAGACTAAAACTTACAAATATATAAAAGAAACCAGTCCTCTAAACTTTTTGAGTCTGAGCTCTTTTTTGATAATGAATAATAGTACTATTTTGCCATTTGATTTTCCTTTTGTTCTGTGTCTTATAATTACCTTCATTTAAAAAAATTAGAAATAGTGTATCATTATGAAAGATAGTTTAGAATATTAGTTCTCAAAATTTTGGTCTTAGGACACTTTTACATTCTTAAAATTTGTTGACCCTAAAAGCTTACTTATGTTGGTTATATCTAATGATATTTAACCATATTAGAAATTAAAACTGAAAAGAATATATAAATAAAAATTTTAAACTTTTAATAAATTTTATATTAAAATTTTATGTTAATTCATTTAAATATACTTATTAAATGGTAACACAAATGACCTTTTTAAATGAAAAATAATTATATTTTCCAAAATAATAAACCAGAAGAGTGACACTTCTACATTTTTGCAAGTTCCTTCAATGTATAACTTTATAGAACACAGCTAGATTCTCATACCTGCTTCTGCTTTCAATCTGTTGCACATGTTGTTTTGGTTAAAGTATATATAAAGAAAAGCTGATCTCACAAAGATATGCAGGTAGAAAAGAGACAATATTTTAACAGCCTTTTCAGAAAATTGTGGATATTATTCTTTCATACTCTACCAAATCTTGCTAAGTAGTAGTTTTTTAAAGATTAGCTACCATTTGGAATCTGAGACCAAATCAGTGAACTTTCTGTACTCTGTTACATTAAAATTTAATTGGTCTGTCTTTCACTTTGAATGGATCTTTTACCCAAGCATGATTTTGTAACATCATACATTGATCATCTGGAAAATACTGGTTCAATTAGGTATGCAGATCTTCCAAATGTTGACACATTTCATCATATAACATCAAAAAAATGACATTCTTGATATCACCACCAATCTCACCAGAAGAGTTTTTAAATAGCAGGAAGATGTCAAGCTCGTGGAGGTAGACACGAGTTTTCCAAAATTCGAATTTTTATCTGTAAGCTTGGATTTTATCATTGGCCTCAAACTCTGTGCTGTCAGTTGTTTTCCTTGAAATGACAGGCTCATTTTGTTAATTTTCAAGAAATGCCTGCCAAATATCCAAGTATGAATAACTACAGTTTGTCATTCTTTCAAGTAAAAATGTTAAACTGTGAGAGAAGAATACAGTGACTGCTAGTCTGGTCTGGTGCCACTGCCTTGCTTCATGCTAACGTCTCAGCAAATTTATCCACCTTTGCAATGTCAATATGGTAGAAGGGACAATAAGCTTTTATTACTGTGAAAACAGTTTTCACCTCATACCTCCCCAGCCCCCAGAAATGTCTTAAGGGCCTTCAGTGGTCCATGGACACTACACTTGAAAACTGCTGGTTTAGAACAGTGGTTCTCAGCTGGGGCTATTTTGCCCCCTGAGGGATCATTTGGCAATGTCTGGGGACATTTTTAGTTTTCATCACTGCACAAAAGGGAGGGGGACGGTGTGCTTCTGACAGAGGCCAGAGAGGCTGCTGAACATCCTACAACGCACAGGACAGGCCCCCACAACAAAGAATTACCTGGTCCAAAATGTCCATAGTGTTGAGGATAAAAAACTTTGGTTTAGAATAAACAAAAATGTAAAAAACGAAACAAAACAAAAAAAGTACTCCAAACCCAGTGCCCAATATATAAAACCACTACTTACTAGCACTCTGGTACTTCCTCCCAGTGCTTTCTTTAGGATAGGTTTTTTAACATTTTATTATCTTATATATAAAATTCTTTAAAAATAAAATTTCCGGGGCTTCCCTGGTGGCGCAGTGGTTGAGAATCCGCCTGCCGATGCAGGGGACACGGGTTCGCGCCCGGTCGGGGAAGATCCCACATGCCGCGGAGCGGCTAGGCCCGTGAGCCATGGCCGCTGAGCCTGCGCGTCCAGAGCCTGTGCTCCGCAACGGGAGAGGCCACAACAGTGAGAGGCCCGCGTACCATAAAAAAAATAAATAAATAAAATAAAATAAAATAAAATTTCCAAGTGGTATTATGTTCCAGGTATTTCTCCAAATTATTTCATATTCTTTAAAGCATTTTAAAAATAGCTGTATAAGTTCTAATAAGTGGTTACATCAAAATTCACTTAGCCATTCTATTTTTCAGTTCTCAGGTTGGTTCTAATTTTCTGCCAATATAAATATTATGAAGAACAACTTTGTGCATAAGACTTTCTCCATACATGAACTGTTTCCTTATGACTGATTCCTAAAGTGGGCTAAGTGAACCAAATTTAGCATGTGAACCTTATTTTAAGGCCTTACACACATATTGCCAAACTACACCCTGAAGTGCTGCAACAGTTGATACTATCACCAGCCATGTGTCAAAGGCTGCCAGTTTCAGCCATGGATGTGATCATTTCTAAAAGTCATTCTCATTTCCCCTTCTTACCATGAGTTACTTCATCCATGTCTGGACTAGTGACAGAATCTTTACCCCCAAAATCAGAGCTGCACTCAGATCTCAGGTCTTCAATCTTATTGGGAATATCCTCAGAGGTTGCACTTATGCCTTTAAAAAAAATGGTAAAAAATAAACAGCAAGAACAAAATAACCACACAAAAAGTATATGAAGTTTGGAGAAATGTATACATTCTCACATTTTTTGTGTCCCAGTTCTTTACATGTGAGTTGTTTGGTATTATATCCTTTATTGTACAGTTGCTTAAATATATTTACCTTGATTTGTACAACATAATCAGAATTATCATGTGATGTCTAAATACAGTAGCAGAGGCTACCAAGAACGGATAGAGTTATAGAGGGAACACACACAGACCATCTGTCAACTACTTTGACAGGCTCTGTAACGGCACACATTAACTTCTCATAGATGTCACGTCCCACAGAAATAAGTTTACTGGAAATTACTCAGATCTTAAATAAAATACATCTCTTTGCTATCAACTTTATAAATGGGGAGGTGGGAACACACCTTCAAATCCTTATTCCTTAAAACAAGCCAGACATACCCGACACAACACTGAGGCCTGGTGTGCTGGGGCGGGAACTGACCTCCCTGACATCCGTATCATCAGATGTGCTACCCAGTCCTGAACAGCTCTCCAGTTCTTGCAGTCGCTCCTCCTGCTTTAGATCTGGGGCCTCTAAACAGAAAAAGTGAGGTATCACATTAGTGATTCCACTAGCACATCACAGTTTCAGCTTTTGCAACCCAGATGAAGAAAGCTACCAACGGCATGAATGAAATCAGTGTAAATAGACTTTTAAGTCTGGGCCAGTTAGCAAAGTTAGTTAGATCAAGTGTTAAAGAGGTCTAGGTTGTGATTTTCATCCTAATACAGGCCAGTTCACTGTGCACAGATGAAAACTCTGCTTCCAGATCACTAATCTCATACAGTATTCTATTGGTTAATAAGTAAACTAAACAAGAGAATACAGAACAGCTTAGCATTAAATCAACAACTTTCTAAAAAATAACTCCTATGGATGTTCAATACTGAGCTAATCCTACTGTCTCCTTATGTAAAGGTTAGCATGTCTGAATGTGGTAACATTAAAAAACACATATCGGGGCTTCCCTGTTGGCGCAGTGGTTGGGAGTCCGCCTGCCGATGCAGGGGACACGGGTTCATGACCCGGTCTGGGAAGATCCCACATGCCGCGGAGCGGCTGGGCCCGTAAGCCATGGCCGCTGAGCCTGCGCGTCCGGAGCCTGTGCTCTGCAACGGGAGAGGCCACAACGGTGAGAGGCCCATGTATCGCAAAAAAAAAAAAACCCACATATCAAGGTTGCTTCATTATTCTTGAGCCAAGTGATCAAAAAGAAGGTAATTCAGATATATAGTTACTTATATTTGCATTCTGGTAGTTGACATTTAGTTGAAGACAAGGATTTATATTCATAATCAGAAAAAAAGCAGAAATGCAACACATAAGAGAAAGTACAAAATACTTTATATATGTTTATAATAATCCTGCACAAAATAATTCTCAGGGTTCCAGAGCCTCAATGTCAATACATTTCAAAAATACATTAGGTATCTTTGGGTCAAGTTCTCCAAATCTAAACATGCTTACCAGGCATCCAACCACTCAGAGTGGTTGTGATAAGTTAGTGGGAGATACTGAACTCAATGTCCCACATAGAATCCTGATGAGTTACTAACGGTTGCTTCCAAGATAAGTGAACAGAGTTAGAAAGCACCTGCCATCTTAGCCTATGCCACCCAACACTGCATTTTTTCTTGATGGACAGAAAATACCCCAAGCTAATTTTCCATTTGAAATTCTTAGCAATGTGATGGCCTCATACTCGTCAAATGTATATCTGACAAAATGTACATAATATAGAAGTTAGGATACCTTACATTTAAAACTTCTGTGCAAATCAAAAAGCAAACAATGACAGCATACTAACCTGAGTCACTTGGCAATACCTCTACACTCCAAGCTTCGCTTGTTGTCTCTGATATGGTAGAGCCAGTGCAGGGGTCAAGAAGCACTGACCCTGAACCTGGCAGGCACAGTAAACTGCCTAACATGTTCTCTGCTGCTGCACCTGTATAACCAGTGGGGAGTAAAGGGTTAACAAACGTCCTCAGGGAAAGAGAAGTGATGATGGAAAAAAGCCAAACACTAAGCTAACAAAATCTCTCTACTCTACTCGCAAGAAAGAAGCCAAGGAAAGTGTAATTTCAATCAATAACACCACTAAAAACATAAATTTCCCACTTTGGTCACAATAACACAAGCTCCTTTTCATCAGTTTCCTACTGTTCACCTTAGTCTCCATAGAGAAAACACACATCATTAGGACAAGTCATTTCAACTAGCTTTCACCTTGATTTTTTGGCAAATTTTACGTGTCCCTAATATCTCTCTAATATTTTAGTCCTTCAGGGATTAAAAACACTCAAACAGAGACATTTAACCGTAGAAAGTTATACTGGCCAAATATGTTTTCTTCTGGCACATTAGCCACATATTCAGAGCAATAAAATATATTTGCAGGAAAACACACATCTCCTCTGTAGCGCTCATTCAACTGCAAATACAGCTTATTGCCCAAATACAGCTCACTGCCAGGAAAAATACTATTGTACTTTGACATCTGGAACAAAATAATGCAAAACCAATTGAGAAATCTATTTACACTGCTTAAAAATACAAATAGAGGGCTTCCCTGGTGGCGCAGTGGTTGGGAGTCCGCCTGCCGATGCAGGGGACACAGGTTCGTGCCCCGGTCTGGGAAGATCCCACATGCCACAGAGCGGCTGGGTCCGTGAGCCATGGCCGCTGAGCCTGCGCGTCCGGAGCCTGTGCTCCGCAACGGGAGAGGCCACAACAGTGAGAAGCCCGCGTACCGCAAAAAAAAAAAAAAAAAAAAAAAAATACAAATAGAAAGAGTAAACATTATTGTAAACCTGTGTTAAAAATACTCAAGTTCAGAATGCTCCACTACTTCTGATTAAACCTAATAAAAGAACAATCTTATTTCAGTAGATGAAGAACCTTTGGAAAAACTGGTAAAAGGTAACTTTTAAAGATACATCATGGTTACCAAGGGGGAAAGATGGGGGGAGGGATAAATTAGGAGTTTGGGATTGGCATATGCACAGTGCCACATATGGAATAGATGGTCAACAGGGACCTACTGTACAGCAGAGGAAACTCTGCTCAATGCTCTGTAATAACCTATATGGGGAACGAATCTGAAAAAGAATGGATATATATATATATAACTGAATCACTCTGCTATACACCTGAAACTAAGACAACACTGTACTGATAAATCAACTATACTCCAATATAAGTAAAAGTTACATTTAAAAATTTAGAAAATAAAGATGCATCATGAAATAATTACAAATAAAATAATGTCTGGAACCTGCCTGATTAACCTGTGATTACATAATCGGGGGAGGGGATAACAAGGTGGGAGAAGAGATGAAACAAAACTGGCCATGTATGTATGTGTAATTGTTGAAGCTGAGTGATGGGTACATGGTGTTCATTATACTGTTCTCTCTTGTATTTGTTTGAAATGTTCCATGATTTAAAAAGAAAATAAAGATGGTGATTACAAGACTGTATGAATCTTTCAGAACACACAGAACAATATCCTAAAAAGCGTAACTTTTAACGTATGTAAATTGTATCTCAATAAACTTGATATAAAAAAAAGAAAAAAAGAAAAAACTGGTCATTCTTTGGAACTGAATTAAACCTTCCAGAAGTAAATTCGGCTTTTAGAGAATCTCAGTATCATATTATTCTGAAAGATTTTATGGCTATAACCTGTAAGAATTTTCATGTTAAGGCAAGGTGTTTAGTCTCAAAAGAAGAATATGTTAATCATAGACTAAGAACATATACTATGCCCTGCAAACAAGAATTGACAAGAAGTTGATTCAAAAGACTGTTTTTTCTTTTTTTGCAGGGGGAGGGGCACTTAAATGTAGACAGGGGAAAATACTACCTATATTTAAGAAAAAAGAAATACACAAATGCCTTGTCACATACAATTACCTAAGTTTCCCAGTTACTGCTAACACATACACCATGTTTGTCAGAGCACTGAAGTTCCCTCCCATGAAGGGGGGGTGGATATGAATAAACAGCAATCTTCCAGAGTCATTAAATAGCAGTTACCTGCGATTTCTTGCAAGCGATCTTCATCAATGTTAGGGTCAAAATCACTTCCCAAGACATCTGTACTCCATGTCTCACTCACTGTTTCTGATATATCTCTATCATCTGTCAGTCCCATCATGTCACGAATTTCAAACTTCCTTAGCTTATCATCGAGATTATCCTGGGTTGTAGCTATCAAAAACAAAATTAAGCACTTAAAAAACGGTAGCACAGCTATCATTTTTTATAACAACTTTAAAGACCTTTTTGTCTTTGAACTTCAAGTTACATATTTTAACATTAACACTCAGCACATAGTACTAAAACACTGAATTATTCCCTCACGGATGTACTCTTTCCATCTCTGAATTGAGTTCTGCATATGTCCTCCCCCTCCCAGTAAATTAACTGGGGCCATCCATGCAATCAGTTGTCTCCCTGTCCTCTAGAGTGTGACTTTGGTCAAGAATTGGGATATATTCCCCTTTCTCTGAATTTGCACAGGCCTGGTTCCTTGCTTTGTCCAAAAGGTAAGGAGGAAGTGTGCCAGTTGTGAGGTTAGGCCTCAAGAGAGAACTTAGAAACCTCTGCTCTCTCTCATCCTTGTTCTCTCATGAGGACAAGCTGAAACCAGTCTGCTGGAGGATGAGGAACCACATGGAACAAAGCAAAGGTCATCCTAGATGAGCCAGCTCCCCAGTGACCAACGGACCCCCAGCTAAGATTAGCAGAGCTCCCTACTCAACCATGATGACGAGAGATGCATGAGTGAGCCTGGTCCAAATCAGAACCACCACCTGGCTGACCCACAGACTTGAGAGCAAAAATAAATGTTTATTGTTTTAAGGCACCAAGTTTTGGGGTGGTTTGTTATGTAGCATTATTGTGGCAATAATTAACAGATAAACCCATACCAAAAAAAACACAAACAAAACAAAACGCGAAGCCTTAACCACTGGACCACCAGGGAAGTTCCCACTCACTTCTTAACCTAGTACTCACGAGTGTAAACTGCCAACCATCCATATCAGAATCACCTAGACGGCTTGTTAAAGAGGTGATATTCTCTCTATCTTAAGCTAATATTATTTTAGGTTTCTGTTATCTGCAGAAATTTTAATCCTAAATAATACAGTGACAAACTGATCCAGTAAAAACACAGCATTACTTTTATTCACCCCACACATAACCCAGTTGGCAATACTCTTTTCCTTTCCAAAAACAGACTGATCCAGGATTTCTAGAAATGAGACAGGGGAAATGCCTTTTTTCCCCCCCTAACTCCCCAGGTGATTTTTACACACACTAAAGTCACTGCCTCAAATCCAGTTGAGGGCATCTGCCCTCAACATTCCTGTGAAAGCCACCACTGATCTGTAGATGGACAAATCCAAAGGACTTTTTCATGTTAATCTTCCTAAAGCACAAAAGGGATCCATCTACTTTTCATCCTTACCTCACCCTATTACCCTACTTGACAGTTCCTGTGTAAAGTACTATGGCTTCCCACCTCCCGGACTTGCTTATACTACTATTCCTTCACCTAGAATATCTCTAGTTTCAGCCAATGCAATGCCAGCCAGGCTTTGAGATTATTATTTTCTCCCAATAAGCTTTTCCCTACCCTTTCAACCACATGTATTTCTCACTCAGAACTACCAAAGCACTTTGATGATAATTTTAATCATTTGTGTACCATTCTCTCCCTATTCTAAGTTCCTTGAGCTCTGCGTATTCATCTTAGAATCCCTTAAAAATTTAATATTACAGAATTGAAACACCAAATATTACAGAATTCAAGCAATTCATTTTAATTATTCTATGTAATTTTAGCCTGAATAATCCACTTAGCAACTAAACAGACTTTTTTTTTTTTTTTTTTTTTTGGGCCGAGCCGCGAGGCTTGCAGGATCTTAGTTCCCCAACCAGGGACTGATGTTGGGCCACCTCAGTGAAACTGCTGAGTCCTAACCACTGGACCGCCAGGGAATTGCCAACTAAACACATTTTTAAGAACTGAAGAACCATAGTTACTCATAAGTAAATACAAGTTTAATGGTCATTATATAATCAACTGAACACAGCCAACTTACATGGAAACAGATTATTTATTCTGCAACCAGGTAAATTCTTTGCTGCTTGAACAGCTGAATTCAACCTCACTTTACCTTGCTCATGCTCTAACAGCTGTAGAGCTTCAACTCCATTACTCCCAGAAGGTCCTGCTCCAAGTTCTGAAACAGATTCCCCTTCCAGGTCTAGTGAGGATACTGAATTAGAACGATTTGAAGGACCTAGAGAAACGTTTATACTGTGAGTGAGCTTTTTTTGACAGTCATGAGCCACCATGTAATTTTTCATGCCTTGATAAGAGATTAAAAAGACTGATTAAAGTGATTTTAATGCTGTTAAGCCCTATAAATAAACACGCCCTTTAAGCCAAAAATTCTGCTTTTAGAAATTTATCCTAAGGAACTAATCAAAAATTCACCTAAGGTCGCTTATTGCAGTACTTCTTACAATGTCTGAAAAGTGAAAGAAGCAAATCTACAAGTGCAAACACAGAAGAATGTTTAAATAAATTATCATAAATGACCAACTGAAGTTAAAGAAAATAGACATTAAAAACCATGTTATTTAAGAATGCTAAATTACAAAGGGAAACGTTACTGTTATATTGTTAAACAAAAAAAGGTTACAAAACCACCTAAGCCTAATTTTGCTATAAATAAACCAAAATGTTAACTGTTATTAACAGAATGGTAAGGTCACAGATGGTTCAATTTTTCCTTCATTTTCTAGAATGAATGTACACTACTTATGTTTTCAAAAGTGAGAAAAAAAGGAAAAGTTATCACCATTCACGTTTATTTTAAAATGTTAGTCAAATTGAAATTTTTCATTAAAAAAGCTTGTCCTAGCGCATGGAGTGACATATTCTCACTTTACAATCTTGCCTTTTAATTTTCTTTTTCATTCCTATCCTACTTCCATTGTATCTTTCTGCTTCATTAAAACATTAGCAGTATACACAACACCCTGAAACACTAGTGAGTCCATTTTTTTCCATTTAGACATGCATTATATCCCTCTAAAGGAGCTCTACAAGCTTTGGTATATGTTAATACTAGTGAAATAAAACTTGGTATTATTCAAGTCTCAATGCAGACCTAGATCGTCTCCATTTTATATGACCAAAGGTCTCTTGCAATGTCAATTTTATTCAAAGAAACAATCTTTACAGCCAACTGTTCAAGATCATTAGAGGAAAACTTCATTACACTCCTCAGTGAGAGGCACAGTGGCATAATTATAATTTTTAAGGCTCCTTTAAAGAACACAAAACAAAATATTACTTGAATCACACAACTCCTTAAATGAAGTAACCCTTCACCTTCAGATATTCCTTCCAGATTATCACTGCAGAGGGAAAAGCGCAAGGTTTTATCAGGTTTACCGTGGAGTTTGTTTTCATCAACAGGGACATCTCCTTGTCCTCCATCCGAAAGCTGCATGTTTAGGACCTGAAAAATAAAATGCCATTAGTTTATCACAACTGAGAGATTATTGATAAGAAAACAAACCATGGCAAATGCATATTTAAGTTCGTCTTAATATTAAATTATCATTTTTAACTGAAAACCCATTTATAGGGATCCAATCAAGTTTTTAAGTACCCCTGGGATAAAAGTGTACCAGTTAGAAGAACTGAGCCTATGTCTTTCCATCACCCTACCAGTTTCAGCAACTGAACAGGCAATTGGACATCGATGAGCAGTGATTAGGTTTGCAGGAGTCGGAGGCTTCAGACTCAGCAGTCCGGTCCTCCCAGTTCTGCCATGGGCCAACTATGTAAACTTGGATAAGTATTTTAAGCAATCTGAGCCTCATCTTCTTCATCTATAAAATGGTGATAGTAACAGTATATATGCCATGGAGTTGTTGAGGATTAAATAAAAAGATGCACATAAAGCATTTAACACAGTAAAGTGACATATTAATTTTGTGTGCATTTTTCTAAAAGTTAATAAACTAATTCATAGGGAAAAAACATGTAAACAAATTATTTTGTAGGCACCAGAATTAATCAGTCTAGTTAGAACCTCCACTTGATCACCATACACACGGCCACAAAGTCCATACCAGAAGCCGAAGTATGACTTCTATGCCACATCTAGCTTACAGCTGATTGCCTTTTTACAGAACTTTCTATCTGTTAGATGATTTCCAAATAACAATTACTTCTCACTCCCCACAAACCTCATAACTCAGCTCTGTATGTGTATCTCCAACTTAATGAAGAATTGAGTGCTTTGCTGGATGTCACAGCATGTATTAAGCACACCTGGAACTTGAACTCACAACCACTGGGTTCCTAGGCTGCTGCTGGAATGTGAAGAACAGTGTCCTCAATTAAAAAGAAAAAACAACACAAAGCCAAAAAAAAAGAAAGAAAACCCTTAAGGTGCTGTTTTGACCCCACATTTAAGTAAGTAACTTAAAGGTTTTCTAATGGCTCCATCTATTTATTCATGTGATGCTTTTAAAAGGTCATTTAAAAATAGAATCTTTTCCCTATTTGCTTGAAATTAAATGCAGACATAAAGATCTTACATTTTGTATTTGTAAGATAACTTGAGCCTTCACACTCATCAGAGTGAGCAATGTGCAATGAATCTTCAGGAAAAATCCATCTAAAGGCCTTGAGAGTGGTATGAATTAACGAAAAACAAAAGGATCATACCACAATCTAGATATTTCCCTGCGCAGGAAATTTGGCGGCTGTCTTCAAGCCTGCGATTGGGGTGCGGGTCGGGGGA